TCATACTGTTAGCCAATTCAGCAAATGTTTTCTGGTCGCCTCTTATCTTCTGGACCATTACCATTCCGTCTAAAATTCGCCCGCACGGCTGAGGAATCATATCTGCTGCTGTCATATTCTTCTGGCTGGCTTCTTGGCAAGTGATGATTTGCTGGTTCTCTTCAGTAATCCCGGCATCAGCCGAGTCAAGGGCCCAAGGGCAAGGTCCGAGAGGGTGTCTCAGTACATCATTCAGCTTTAACGTTCTGTTCTCAGCAGTAATGATCATTTGAGCAAACTGCGCACGATCCGCTTTAATGATTACCTCCTTGCTTGACCCTATTTGTCCTTTCATCTTCTTGTTTAAACTTTGAAGTTCGTAATTTTGTCGCAGAATTTCACCTTACGTAGGTCAGACTCAAGCCTGTCATGACAAAATTTCTTATAAACCGTCCCTCCGAAAGCCTCTGCCGGAAGCATGCAGATCATTCTCTATCTCAGGAGTTGCGAGATTGCCGGTAGATAGACAACTAGGTCTTGCCTTTCTCCCTTAAAGGGATTGATCCAGCTTCCTTCGGGAAACGATTTCTATTCGCTTTCATTCCTTTTCCTTTTCCTCGCTTGCTCAGTTCCAGGGGGCGGAAGGAGGTTCCGGGACCAAAATGCCTGGCTTAGACAGCAATAACATTTACTCGATTAGATGTTCCTGCGCCATAAAGCGTCTCTTCTATTCTATCAATATTAAATATTAAGCCTGGAATTTAATAAATCTGATCAAATAAACTCAAACAGTTTGTCATAAGCTTGAGACTCTATATCAAAAAAATTGTTTTTCATCCGAGTCCGGTCCACTGCTTTCCAAGTCAGGGTACTTGCTCGCTTTATCTGGTCAGGTACAATCTCAAAAGCACCGACCATGGTAACACGCTTTAGCTGCTACCAAATCGCGACAGGCAAGGCCAATAAGCCTGCTATCACCCGCAGCAGTAGCAACTTTTCTAAAGCATCTAAATACAAGTCAACCTTCTGAGTCAAAGGGATCGCGTGTTCTTGTACATGCAGTCTTATTTTCGCAAAAAGTGTACATTTTCGAGCAAGTTCTGCTCGTGCTTGGCTCTTGCGGACGAGATCTTTGCCTTTCGCTTTCCAAATTAAACTTCGAAATCTGTTTCGCGGCCGTTGTTTAAAAAATGCTCTCCAGCTAATCTCGCTTCATGCTAAAAAAACTTCGGCATTTCCTTTGATATATGACTTGGGGAATTTCTCCTTCCTTGGTATTCTCTGCCAATGGATAAAGCAATGGCCCATAACTCTTAATCAATGGTAGCCTCGTTCTATAAATATTTCAAAGAGTCGAATCTTTTCTTAAAATAGGAATAATTAGCAGATTTTTATCATATGAGCAGTGAATAATATAAGTTTTAAAAGCAGGTCTTTAGTTTGGTCTAGGAATAAAACAACAATCGAAACTGTACATATCAGTTAAGTTTCCTTGAGAGTCGAACAGAGACTCTTAAATGTTTGTAAGTATTTTGTTCAGTGAGCCTAAAAATACTAAGTGTTCCCTGTTTCTCTATATTACTTGAAAAAAAGCGTCCAAACTGCGAAAATTTGGCAAGAACTTTGAAGTATTTACTATGCAGCGAGACCGTCATCTTAGACGTTACCCATGATGCTTTTCGAGTTTGAGCTGCATGGTTTCATTTAAGTTTTTCTTTTTCAAATCAACTTATAAATTTTATTTTTTAACCAAAAATGTTAAGAAAAGCTGTTTACTGTACAATGTAGTAATTTATTAATATTATAAATAAAGAACGCATTTAAAATAACTGTTTTAATGTGAGCCTCGTTTCCATGTCACAGCAATATTTTTGAAAAAAAGAAGTACGCAAAAAATACTAAAAGCTACTCTTTCACGATTGCTATCAAGTAAATTTGAAAAGTCCTTCATACAATATTTCATCAGATATCACTCACATTTTCTTCCCCCGAGTGGTACCGAGAACCTGCCCTGGCCCATGGACTATCTCCCATACAGACCGACTTAGCTCGGTTAATAAGATGTTTATTATATGGCAAATAAGAAAAATTTAAATCGTTTAATGAAACTGGTTTGCTGACATTTTGCATGCAAACGGAGATGAGCTTAACTTAAACCTGCCGAAATTTGCTCGTCCTCCTTACTTTTTTTTTTGTCATCAGGCTTTTTGGCACTACCATAAATGATTGAGAAAAAAAATAAAAGAAAACGGTGAACATTTTTGTATTTTAGTTTGCTACTTTTCAACGCAAAATAAAACCGGTCTAGATGCCGGTCTAAATGGGAAAATCTAGACCGCGGTCAATATCGATTTCAGCCAATCAAATTTGTAAATTCGGTAGTTCCCAGTCCTTGTGAGACACGGCCATATAATAAAACCTGCTAACGACTTAAGAATCACTTAACAAGGATTTCAAATTGACTCAATTTGCTTTCGAGGTTTGCCAGAATTTGAACTTGTTCCGCGCGAATAGAAATCGTTTCCCGAACCCGTCAAACACACAGTAGAGATATAATAAATATCTTATTAACCTCGTTTTCTCGGTCCGTACTGTAAGTTATGGATCCTCGTTTTTGTCCCCCTCGATTTATTGGGAAAAAACTCGGTACGTAACTTACAGTACGGCCGTCGAACTCGCTTAGTAAGATGTATATACTACTTGACAAATTAGCGGACGGACTGTCATTTGGACAGAGGAGCTTGTTACCTGGCTTACTCTTTGCTTTGTTTTGTTTCGAGTGGTAAATAGGCGAAGCTTTAATGATATCATTCATTAACGTTATTTTGATATTTTTTTTAGGATCTCGCGGTGGATTTTGACGATTTCGATGCGGAATTTACAAAGTAAGTTCCTTATATCTCTGTTTCAGTTTTTCTTTTCTTGTATGAAATTAAATTTCGATAAACATTTCAAAATAAAATGAGCGATAGAAATTTTACACAACGTTTTGATGTCGTCATGACATCATTATCGAGTGACAGGAAAATAACGGTTCACATATTTGTTTAAACAAATAGTTTCGCGCGGATGGAATCAGATTGCGTGTTCAGGCTAGGTTTCTTCTTTCTAATAAACAGCATTTCGTAAATCAAACAATCCAGTTTTCCGTTGCATTTCTTTAGGACGGAAAAATTTTTGGCAAGGTCGTCGATGTTATAAAGGCCGTGATCATTCTTTAAATGCTTTCCGATTGCGGAGAACCTGTGTTCATCAATACGTTGGTGCAAATGCCGGCTGGTATACCCGACATACTCTGCATCGCACAGATCANAATGTCTATTTGGATTGTTAAAAACCTCCAAAACGTTCTATTACCTCGCTACGGGTACTATAAGTTGTTAAGAGTTGTTAAAAAACGCGCTATTTGGCTCGAAATCGTTTTCCTCAGCAAAACCTCACATGAAATGAAGATTTTCGGATCGCACGCCCGAATCGCTCCAAAACGTAGTTACGGCTACTAAATGTTATCAGGAGGGCTCCTGATGTTATATAGAGTTGAAAACGTGCAGTTTTGCTTGAAAGCGTATCCCTGAGCAAAACCTCACAAGAAATGAAGATTCACTCTTTATACCACCGAATTGCTCAAAATCGTGGTAACGACTACAATGAAGACGTGCTATTTGGCTCGAAGGCGAGGACCGGGGGTACTCCCTTATATGGTATGTGCGGCGGGATTGGGTACGGTAGGGTTTTTGAGGTTCTTGATCCTTAAATTTACTGGCCAATAATCCGTAGCCCTTCTCTAAAAACTCCTACTAATCCATAATTCTAAAACCCTAACAGGGCCTCCCACTGATTAAAACTGTACACAACTCACCCATGACATCATAATCTTCAAGAATTTGGGACACTATTAAAAAATTCCAGTTTCAAGGCTAATAGCTCGTATGCAGTATACGAATTACCATAAAAGGTAAAATCAAAGTGAAAGGCATAAATTTTGTTACTAAGGATTCAAACAACGAATTGTTGCACAATTAGAGACATTGCATGTAAAACCCAAAGTCAAGAGACATGGTTATAGGATAAAAACAGATACATTCGCAACTACAAAGAACTTGATGGTCCAGAAGATTGATCAGTGATGCTGTAGTCACCCCCTAGACTGATTTAAGGTAGCTGATAACGGTTTCAAGCCATTTTCAGCCATTCTTGCTTGATCGACCGTTGTTACGTCTCGTTTTTAGTCGCTACGGGAATTGTACACTACGCATTGTTGATTAATTAGAGGTGGTTTTGGTTCACGCATCTTGAGATCTTCACAGATTTTGCGACTCTTGAATACTGGTTGAAGAGTGTGATCGATTTTCTTGCTCAGGTCAGATAGTTGTTTTTTCACTGCATCGGGCGACGTTTGATCATTAAATGGCAATACAAGAGTCGCAAGAGTCGCAAGAGTGGCAGGAGTCGCAAAATCTGTGAAGATGTCGAGATGCCTGAACCAAAACCACCTNTTGACGGGTAGTTGAGGTGGCACGAGAGGATCTTTGGTCATCATTGAGGTGACAAAGTGAGAAATGATGGGGTTAATTAGGCTTTCAGGGTACTTGAAGTTAGTAAACAACAGCTTCAGGCGATCACATTCAGTCACGAAAGACTCCCATGTGGATGACAGGTGAAAAGCACGATTTACCATGGTTTTAATGAGCGATTTCTTGTACCTTTTGTCCACATGGCTTTGGTGATGGAGTAATAGGCCGGTATTTGTTGGCTTCCGGTAAACACTGATTTTCAGTTTGTGACCTTTCTTAAATATTTTCATACCAATAAATGGTAGCTTGTCGTCAGAAGCTGGTTCCATTGTGAAATTTATGGATGGGTGACAGTTGTTAAGTGTTGTTAAAAAGGCTTCTGCTGCTGGCACATCCTTCATCGTGGCAAGCGTGTCATCGACGTACCGGCTATAAAACTCTGGGAGCTTGTTGTCATGTTCTAATTTCTCTTCGATGGAGCAGAGAAATGCCCATAAGGGGTCCCAAAGGTGAGCCCATTGCCACTCCGTCAGTTTGTTCATAAAGCTTGCCATCGAGCTGTACTATAAATCCCATGAGCGTTCCTCGTAAGAACTGAAGGAGGTTCCATGTACATTCTCTCAAAACATCATGCACGCCTGAGGTCTAGAAAAACTGGTAGTGGATGCACGAGCGAAATGCGACTGCTTCAGCAGTTTTTCTAGACCATCTATTTGGTTTAGAATCTAGCATGATTAATCTAATTTTTTTTTTTATTTGTGAGAAGGAGAGGCGGGGAGGGGGTGATTGCGCTGGCAAAAGAACGTCCGGAACATGCATGCTCTATAATTTCCAGCTGTGCACCCAATCTATTCAACAGATAGGTTTTCACGATGCTGTTCAGTAATTGATCGCAGATGACGTCAAAATAAGTTAAGAACAAAAAATGCAATTGATTTTCATTTGTGCGCCTCACGTCCATGAAGTCATCTAGCCAGACGTCATCGTCATCGCCCTCTTATAGATCAAAAGTAAGAACCAATCAAAATGCGAGAATGATTTGACTAATTATACAAAAAATAAACGTGCACCGCTCAGCTCCAATAGCGGGTACACAACAGCTATATTCTAAAACTCGATATAATACGCAAACGCGTTACGCTGCACGTTTAGCAACATAACATAACACAACTGTCCTGCTGACTTTCCATTTGAACAAAATTCAGTAAAACTCGTTTATCCCGTTCACTGTCAGGTTGGCGGAGTCACGGTCCAATCCAATCTTGTTCGAGACGCCTGTTAGGAAGAGAGATTTTTCTGGTGACGTCAATCACCTCATGGCCACTGAAGCGACAGCTAAAGAGTTGACGATGTCCAAGTCCACTGAAGATCTCCTTTCTTAATAGGCTATGCATTTCCGAGTTACCACGTGCCTCTCTTTCAAAACGAGCCCTCGTGCAAAACCTTTCAAATATAAATGAGTATTTGCATGAAAATGAACCTACGGGTGGAACACATGTTCATAGCAATGGTTTCGCACGAAGACTTGGGCGTTCTAAAACAGAGGCAAAAGGCAACTCGGAAATCGCCAAGTATTTTAAATAATATCAGACAACAAGCTCGAAATTTCTAGGAGCCAGGAACATGGCAGAGTTGACAATTTCTCGTAAAAACGAGCGATACTATAGTAATCTCATTCTTTAATTTAATAGAAACTGTTCTTGTTTTGTAGCACAAAAAGCGCAGTGTAAGCAATTTTTATTAAACATATTAAACAAAAGACTTGTTTAACACTTTTTAATTTAATTTAGATGTAGTTTTAAAATATGGGAAACCAAAGATAAATAAATAAATATTTCAAATTCATGAGAAAGACATAAAATGGAGTCATTAATTGCGTATACTCGAACTTCTTCTTAATATATTGAAAAAATGATTTAAATACACAAGAATTCTGCCAATAAAGATAAAACATTATTATACATTCTTTTAAAAGAAAACACTTCCATTTCTCCTTTTTTTTTACTTGTTGTGATTAAAATTGTTACTTCTTAACCTTTTCGTATTTATTTCTAAAAATTAAAACTCTATTACCACTTCGATATAACTTTTTTTCGCCGCTTTGTCTTTCCGCTGTCCATTCCGTGGTACCATGTTTCGTCAACAGTACTTGACTGACTCTTAAACTGTAAGATTATGTTTGATGTTTCTATTTTCTTTCCTCCCCTCGTCAGCCTTCAGCTTAACACAACATCACGGTGGTCTGGTGACAAAAATGTTGTCCAAGATAGTAACTTCTCTGGAATTTACCAAATTTGCCTCGGTTGACTGCAGATTTCGAACTTCTTATCCTAATTACATATCGTTAATCTGTTGTAATGATTTGTCACAGTTGCGTGCTGTAGCTCCCATCGCTCTGTAGCATTCGTTGCTTTTCTTGTTGAAGCTAAGAAAACAAAACGCGCATCACGAATATTAACGATTCAGAAGTGTTTCATCAACAGACTTAAAAGTTAAAACCATCTTGTGCGACATAGTAAAACGCACCACGAGTACAGTTTTATACCCACCGTAGAGAGAAAAACCTGGTTCTCACACGGCCGCAAACATTTAACATTGTTTGTTTACATTGGTCCTGAAAAGCCCCAATGGGGAGTGGCCAATCTCTCCCAGGCATTGACCGTCGGCTTGCCTGCGAAGTTGAGCTGAGTTCAACTTCGCAGGCAAGCCGGCGCGGCGGTTCTCGGTGATTGTCGGCGATGAAAATATTTTTATCTTCGAATGCAATGTAAGGGGTAACAACACGATTTTTCAAACAATTCCATATTTACAGATGGAATGGTTGAAAATTGCGCCAGTTCGATTTGCATTTCGGGCCAATTTGATTACGTCGGCGATCCATGCATCGCAGACGCGTCGGGGACCCACTGGAACAGATCGCTGAATAATGTCAGTTGCAACCAGCGACTACGTCGCAGGTAGGTCTGCGGGATATGATAACCAGGCTGAACTGGGAGAATAAAAAGTTTAGCTAAAGGACACCAGGCAATGACTCTGGCCAAATTCGAACTTAGACCAAATCTCTCAATACAGACTCCATCAGCACACAAACCGTTTGGCGGCAAGCTCTAGTTGATTCAATTTTACTGAACTGCTTACCCTGTTCAACAAGTCCCTAAGCCGTTGCAGCTCTTCTTCATTGCTAGTGGTGTTTTTACGAGAACATGAGCATCTGTTTGCATCCTTTATGGAACCACCTCGAGCCTCCATGGAACTCATAGTGCACGTCCGCAAACGGTAATCGCCATCTTGGCTACTCTTTCTGAGGGCTGCAATCTGAACAAAAGCTAACGGGTCATTTCCTGATCATTGATTTCTTTTATTAAAAAAGGATTCGCCATACATATATGTTTAGTTTTTCTTGTTTTCTAACCAACCGGCCGATTGACTGACAACCTACGAATACAGCCGCCCTCATCAATCCTGGCCAGTTTGGAGAGAGAGGGGCTTTATTCGCAGATTAACTAACTGACTGCCTGTGTACCTATTTATCTGCCAACCTAACTGCCTAACGAACGGACGGACGGACTGACTGGCTAGCTGACTGACTGACTGACAGACAGACAGACAGACAGACAGACAGACAGGGAAACAGACTTACTAACTGGCTCACTGACTAACAGAGAGACAGAAAGTCTGACAAACAGACAGGCAGTCTGTCTGTTTTTCTGGTTTGCTGACTGTCTGAGTGACTGACTGACTGACTGACTGACGGACCGACGGACTGACTAACATTTTCTGAATTTGTGCCACTGAACAGCAAATCTTTTCACAGCCATAGAAACGTCTTGCAGCTTTATCATTCTCAGACTCTCACCTTTGGTACAAACACGATACACAATGTAGAAGTCGTACTGAAAAGAATACAGGTAGCCGTGACAATAAAGGATGCTTCAAACTGCTTGTCTTGAACAAACGTCACAACAGGAGTCCCCACAACACATGCTATAACCACATTGTAAACGGCCATACCTGCAGGTAAGGAACAAAACAAAACAAAAAAACAGCCATTGCATACATTCTGTATTTATGTAATTAATTATTTATTCTGTATTATGTAATTAATCTGGCTCAGGATAGGATATCAGTTCTATTACAGGCCTTCCCTAATAATCTTTGGTTTCGGGTTTGTTGGGTTCAAATGGTTAGCGGATCATTACAGTGAAATACATTTAAAGACAAAAACTAACGATAAAAACCGAAATTTCGGTGTCTTCATGAATGCCATTGTCAAAGTAATAAAAAATACGGAAACGTCGGTTTTTATCTTTAGTTTTTGCTTGTTTATGCACACTAACTAAATCCTTATTAATAAAAAGTGAAATACGTGTCTTAAACCTTTTATTTAAAGTTTTGGTCTCGATTGCAAGACACCAGCAAGCCAGAAAATTTATATCAAATCCAGCATTGATTTCAAAATACTCACCAATGTGTTGAGAATCATTCAGTGCTGGAATATTGACGGTTCTGGTCTCCCAAGCCAGAAACAGACCAAACAGCAGTAAGATCCCTTTATAGGAGTATAACAAGCCCAACCAGATTGCAATGTTGTTCACCTCACAAATGTACATGTACGGCTCATGGAGAATGTTATCATCTTCAGGGTCGTGCTAGAAACAAGGTTTCACGATAATCAAAGTATTAACGTTTATTAATTTATGAGAAGTAATAATATAAAAGTGCTGTCTGTTCGTTATAGAGTGGTATCTTTTAGGAGTCAAATAACGCTCGAGGCGCTTCCAGATTCGTCTCTTTTGAGGCTTTAATTTAAACGTTTTCCGGAGAACATCCCTGACCTTTTCACATGAAGTACTCCCCCCCCCCCCGCCCCCNCCCCCCCCCCCCCCGCCCCGCGGTGGGTAAGGCGGGGTAAATACACTAGAGCAAACGACTCTTGGAACACTACGAAAACAAAAGTCATGTTGTATAGACTTACATAGGTGGGTAGATATTTGGTTTTCATCTGGAGAGGATCCAAAAAATTCCAATTGAAAAGGAATATGACATCTATGAAAATAAGTACGCCAACGACACCGAAAAGACGCCAGTCTTTGATAACCTGGAAAATATTATAATCGAATAAATGTGGTAGAATGTAATATAATGACAATTATAATAGAGATAGGACCCTGCGCGTGCTTTGATTGGTCAAAAACCCATGTTTTATTAGAGTATAAAACGTATTTTCCTCGCGTTCTCAAATGACCGTCGTGTTTTATCACAGTGTAATACACGGCTTGGGCTTCTTTATTTGTTAAATACGAAACGTTTACACTTTCAACGTTTTGTCTCTCGTCAACTGAAATAAATGGGAACATTAAGAGTGGAAAGCAAAATTAATAATAAAAAAAAGTTTGTAAATACCTTTTGCTTTGCGCTGACTATCCTTGTAACCTTGTGAACGCGCCAAGTTTTTGAAAACAAGGAACCAAAGACCAAGGTGAATCCAACGCAAAGAGTAGCAGCCCTTGCCTAGTTAATGATAATAATAATAATAATAATGATAAAAATAATAATAATAATAGTAATAATAATAATAATAATAATAATAATAATAATAATAATAATAAAACATGTGAGCTTATAATCTTTTCAGTTAAGAAATCTGTGCTTGATGCCCTTCTCTACTTAGCCTGGCCAGTTGGAGAATAGGCTTTACTACGGTTTTCGACGCCATCTTGACGGGTAGGCAAAGCGGTCAGAAATTACAGAGTTTCTATGGGAATCCGATAGCAAATAACTTTCTCCAAATTTGAATTTTACACAGTTTGTGAATCGCAGTGTTAAATACTGGGTAGAAGATTGCATTCACCAAGTTCAAAGGATGAAACTTGGTTAGAAGACACTCAGTTAATTTGCCAATTTTCCATACATTGGTCTGTAATTTTTTTTTCCCGTGAACTGTGTCAACCCAGCCAAATGTACAGACAAATGTAAGGAAAATTGGAAAATTAACTGAGCGTCTTTTAGCCTAGCTACATCCTTCAAACTTAGTATTTTAACATTGCGATTTGCAAATTCTGTAAAATTCGATTTTTCAAAAAGTTATTTGCCTTCGGATTCCCATACAAACACTGCAATTTCTAACCGCTCTACCTACCCGTCAAAATGGCGTCGAAAACCGTGATAAGGTCTATATTCCAACTGGCCAGTTCGAGAAATCGTTAAGCAACACAACGCGACGAGTGAAAGAGCTCTTTATCATCACCGTGAAGTAAACTAAGAATACTGAAAACAAATTAGCTAATTAAAAAAAATTAATCAGTAGACCCGGCAGCTAGCTGGTTAGTGGGCTAGAGTCCATGGATTGCATTCAAGGAACCAAATATTCAGCGTTTGAAAACAATAAACAATAATTCATTCAGCGTTCTTTATGACAAACGTGATCGGGCTAAATTCTTACATAAAGGACTGGACCAACAATGAAAAGAGGTTTCAATCATTTTGCATGTATCCTTGCGACATGACGGCACAATACTGCAACAAAGCTCAATTACTCCCGGCGTTTGTTAGAGAGCAGAATGTGTCTTTTGTTGCTAAGAGCTCAGCAGAATACTGCAATAGAGATGACAGGCGACACTGTACCTTGCAAAGATCAGCTGTGAGGTAATCGCCATCGAATGCAAAAAGGATGACAGAAGAATACGACAGAATGCAACCCAAGATGATGACATTGTTCAGGTTTGGACTTGACATCTTTATAAGTCTGATAATAGAGCACAAAACAAGAAATTTGAAAGATTTTCACTGCGGCGTGTGAATGGGGCTACTAGAAATTGAGGTTTTAGGTGAGAGGTTGAGAGTGCCGCTATGCCATTTGCAAGATAAATCAGATTACGATGACATGACGTGACGTGATGTGCCATGACGTGACATGACACGACGCGACACAGCATGATATGACATGGCGTAACATGACGTGACGTGAAGTGACCTGGCCTGACAGTACAAGCATAACATGTCATGACTGACGTGACGCGAACTGGATAGCCCGATATACCCCCGGGGGAGGCTCCCATATAAAAAGCACGGGGCTGTTCGTCATATCTTTTAGGGGTTAAAAATGCCGGTTTTGGAGCCTCTTCGGGTGTTCGGCCTCATAAGGTCCACAAACGGAGCTTTTGCGGTGCCTTTTAGGGTATTGAAATTTCAAGCCAAGCCCACGAAACAGGACCTTAGTACCTCTTAGGGGTTCTTCTCAAAACTTCCGATGAGCACCCGGCCCCCGTCCTCTTTATAAGGGAGTCCCCACCGGGGATATACCGTGTGCATGACATTGCTTATGGAATGATGAGAAGTGTAGGACTGGTAGCGGAATGCTTCTCTCTAGGAAGTTGTTAAGTCGTGAGCATTGTTTTGTTGAACGTACCTCTTACGCCTATTTCTGACATTGAAGCACAAGAAGAGAAAAGCCAAACAGATTCCCAAAGAAGACATGATACACATCAAGATAAACATGGTTATAGTCATAGTCTTCAACTGTTTATGTACACTTTGACGATCTGCAGGTGCCCTTCCTCCTTATAAGGAAAAAAGAAAAAAAAATTAGCAGTTAAATATACTCAGTCCGTTCACACTAACATATCCAGTTAAGTCGTGATTAAAAAAACTAAAAATTGGTGACACGAACGGATTCAAATATTCTACGTAAAGTTTCAATATGGCAATCTTCAAGTTCATAATATCAGTGAGCAACATTTATGCAGAACGTCTTGACTTTGTTTAGCAAGCGGGGTATCGATATTTTATACTTAATTTATTCCTTTCGCGATCGTATGCATTTATCAGTTTAGCAAATATGGTAACTCGGAAGGAAATACTCTTGTCTCAAGTAGGCCTGTTCCGATTGTGCTCGGCAACTTATCGACAACCTTTGGCATTTCGAGCAACGTTTTGCAGTTTTAGCAACCACGAGCAAGTTTTGCCTTTCTGAGCAACTTTTGAGCAAAATATAAGCTTACAGCACATATCAAGCACGAAAAAGTGAACGATGTCGCAGTAAACTTCAATTTATACGAATTTCTTGAATGTTTATCAACCTTTTGAAGTCAAATGAATTATGTGATAGCATTTATTGTGAAGAACGAAATATATAGCTTTAACATAAAATATCAAAAAATTTAGGAAGCAAGTTTTGAAATTTAGGTAGCAACCTTTTGGAATTTTGGCAATTTTTTACCAACTTTTTGGCATTCCAGTGAGCAACTTTCAAACATTTTACTAGTCTCAAGCTCGTGGAAGTTTTAGTCATAATTACTTACTAGTCTAAACGATTCTGAATTAGCTTAGCTCCAATTTTCTCTTGGCTAAAGATATTAAGAGATGCTAAATGTATCTCACTCTACCTTCCCAATGAAAGTCAGCTCCAGGGTATAAGACCAGGGACGATTCCCGTACATCATGACTACAGATGGCTTTAAACTCTGATCCTGGTTGGTGTAAAAGAAATATTTTATGCGTATTACATACCTATAAATCCACGATAACCTGGTAGTCGTTTTAATGTTATTCGTTACTAGAAGACACAACCTGATTGTATTTTAATTATAACGTTGTCATTCCGTTAATACCGACACTTTATTCCCTAAAGAAAAATTGGGAAATTCCAGGAAATTCCATTAATTACCAGCGCCATTATGACTGACCAGGTCTGTGGTTTATGACGATGTCNCCCCCCCCGGGCCTAGACCCCTGTACCTTGTTATGATCATCTTATTTGTTCACTCTATTTTGGCACCGACTGAGGAGCTCACCTTTACGACAGAGAAGGCGCAGGCAACGAATTAAAAACTTATACGATACTCGTACGATTCTAATTCCAGTAGTTGTCCTCAAGCGATCTTCACCGCAAACAGCTTCCAAATATTATATTTAAAGCATTTCATACCTATTAATTGAGAGATTTCGAACACTCCTGATCTGTCGCCTTTTTCATTCAGCTTCACAAAACTCTGAAAATAATTAGATAAGGATTAGAATCGCGTACACTAAGTGAAGAGTGCTTGTTCACAGACTCCGGCGCGCAATAATTAATGTTCATTTCCCAGATTTGAAAGTTACACTTACCGTCATTCCCTGAAATTCTGTTAACAAAAGGTTTTCTTTCATGGAGTTTGAGAAATTTTTGTCCCCAAAAGGCAAAGAGTCAAGATAGATATTCGGACCCAGGTTCTGGGCGGTTCTGTTTAAGGCGAGGGCGACCAGCCAAGCTGCATCATAAGCAAAACCCTTGTAGTCTGAGTCGTTCAAATTCTTAAATTGGGCCCGCTGTAGGAACTTCGAATGGAACTGTTTCGGCGTCTGATGACAAAGAAATGAGTTTTATGTTTATTTTGTCGCTTTGTCTCGGTTACTTTTAATCTTTATCCCAGTAGGTAAGACCTAGGTAAATGTTGAATCTATATTTAAGCATAATAGGAAAACAGGGCCACGACTGTCGCAACGGTTTTATAAGCAGTAACAGACTAGGAGAATTCCTACTGCCCCCCTGGGTGGGATGCTAGTCCACCGCAAGGTTACCCCCAGCATTAAATTCACCGGTACCCATTTATTTACTGCCTAGTCTGAAATGTCAGACATCTCCCGCCCTCAACCTAACCACGTCAATGCCTGGTTTAGGCTGAGGGAGGAAGATGACTAACATCTCGGGCTATGTATGGCCTAGCTGTCCACCATTTCCTGTTCATGATCTGTTGTTCAACAGGTGCTTGCCTTGTGATCTCCCACAAGTTACTGATGGTGGAAGCGGGCAGAAAATACGGTTGATTCTGCGCAGACCTCTTTTTTTTTTTTTATAAAAGTCTGTAGCTTTGACACGATCTCCTCAGTCATTCTCGGCATGTTTCCGAACCAGGGGCCCGTTTCTCGAAAGCCCCGGAAACGTTTCGGGCCCGGAAAACCATTTTTAGTTAATCTGTATTTAAAAACGGAGGAGTGTACACCCCTGAAACTTGGTCAGATTTTTCACAATAACTCTGGAACATAGGAAACGGGACTTCAAGACGTTAAACTCCGAACAATCTAAAACATTTCCTAGGGAAGCATGGCCTCGGACCCTCTCGAAGCTTTCGCCTTCGGTGCTCGTACGTTGTTTCGGAAATCGGTCACCATTTAGCCTTGCACCGCGCTTGAGAACCAAAGAGCAATAAACAATTTAAGTAAGGAGAGGGTTGATTGTAGTTTTGCTGGTAAATAAAACAGTCTGTCCCCTTAATTTTCGATTATTGCGCGTAGTCACTCACCATACCAGCCTCGGTTGTCTTTTGTGAGCTGCTGAGCCACATATAGTTTACGTAAAAGATCCCTTCAGCTCCTTCGTTGACTTCCTCTGGGGTGCAGGTAGACCCGGGGTAAAGTCGTTTCCACCAGCCATATTTATCAGGGGTGTGAATTACCCAAACGTATTTATGCCCATACATCTTTTGTTTGTAAATCTATCAGGAGTAGAGAATTAAAAATTAAGCGCCTGCCCAACAATATCTTTAACAAGACTGTACAAATGCTACCTTCTGAATAATCAAACTTGATTTTTCTACTGCAATGTTTTACTTTGCTGTTTGATTTTGTTGCTGTACAAGTGTAAATAAGGTGTATGTTAGTTGTAATTTACTGTAGCTTAGCTGAATTAATTTCTCATGCCGCAATTTCCTTGACCGTGGCGGTGTCCAACCAGAGAGCTCTTGCTACTTTGGCCACCGCTCACATTGTATTTCTTTACGAATTAATACTTCTTAACATTTTACTATTTTCACTACTTTACCCTATAAAATGTGTGTAAATGCCCTTTATATCGTAAATAAAGAAACGAATTGGATTGAATTTAGTTTGTTAATGATGCATCTAGGATATAAAATGGCCCAGGGGGGAACTCCCTTAAATGGGCCATATAGGTATGTGCGGCCCCGAAAGATAACGGTTTTCCGCCGTTTTGGTCATAAACAGGGTGTTGATTTTGGCCATTTGGTCAAAAACAGGTTATAGATGTTGTACTGTAGTCTTGAACTGGGTATGTTTCTTTTAGAAGAAGCTACTTTTTCAGGTCATAAGTAGGCGGGGTAGGGAGAATTGCAGATTTTGGTCATAAATAGGGTAAGGGTTTTGCTAAGCAGGCCGTTCACCCCCACTCAATTTTTCTGGGAATATACCTCCTAGAAAATGGCTTTGGATGATTTGTTACCTCGCACATTGCTATGGTTGAATGACTGAAGAAACCAAATATGATCCTTGCATCAATATCCTGTGGAAACATAGTATAGTAAGTTTTGGAGATTGCCAAAGAAAAAAATGACCACGAACTTGTTGAATTATATGGGGAAAAACGTCTGCGATGGAGTGCTTGTTAAATGCGAAATTATATCAATGCTTAACGTACCTTAAGATGTTTTATTTGGCTATTCGGATCCAACAAAAAGCTTCCATAAGAGATCACTTCAATGTTATTCTTGTGGCATTCTTCTCTTAGACTTGTTGCTGCCTGCAACATATAAAACACGGTATAAACGTTGTAAATATCAATGTCAGTGTTTTCTTTTTCATCCTTTTTGCTTTTAAATTTTCTAAAAAAAAAATACCCTCATCTTTATTTGACACAGCCAAGGAAAAATTATAGTTTAATGGATTTAGTAACTTGTAATTCGTAAAATGATAATATAACTGGAGTGGGTGAGATTGCTTTTCACGGTCAACATCGCCCAAAATGACTTACGGATGCAAAGAGCTCTCTACTCTGGTACAGTATAGCTATTCTGTTCCAGTAAAACTTTTTGGCAATGGTGATGAATGTACGGTTAGCAGCGGATAACGCTGGCACCGTTCGAAAGAAGTATGGGAAGACATCTTTTTGTGATAGCTCACCGGAAGCTGCTGATGGAGAAACCTGTGGGAAGAATAGAAAATTGATGAAAAATAAAGTAAAAACGTTTATTTTCTTAGCGTGAAAACATTTCATGATCTCCAACCTGCATAGCCACGACTTTTAGCTGGTTTATGACAAGACAATCCAAATTATATTTCTGGCTTAAAACTTTCATCCCCAAGGATGACCAGCGTCTAAATTTACATAAGAATGTCGATACAGGCTCAGGGATGAATGTTTTGGCAAAAGATAGGACCTGATCAAAAAGAAGAAATTACAATTTCTATGTCTCTAACAAGCCTAGTATGTGAGTGAGGCGAAAAAATAATAATACAGTTTTAGGAGAAAGCCCTTTTATTTTTGGTCTCAGTTGAGTTTAGCTCTTGCACTCTAGTTAGTCCTTATGCATGTTACTTAGAAGAAAGTATTTTTTATCATTAAACTTAAATAAAATAGAAAAGTGAATCACTTTATTTCAATGTCATGGTATGATATTGTCATGGTATTGGTGTCATGGCATGGTATTAGCCAACCTAATGTGTAATGGACTTGTGCATTTAAAAATGTTTTCAAGTAAAACTGTGTCAAAGACCTGAACCATATTGTAGTACTTTGCAGTAGCTCCAGCCGACTCGGCAACGTTTGACCGGGAGGGACCGAGTATGAGACGGACTTGCTTCTCCAGCAAGAAATCGTAGAATACTTTGTTTCCGAGACCAGTATTACCCTGTCGATGAAGAGTGAAATGGAACATTTTAACAAAATGGAAATAAAAATAGAATATGATATACCCAAATAATTTTTTTCATTTCAAAACTGCCATCATCATTACCGATAGATATCTGCCTAGAAAATTTCTACGCAAGCTCATTGCGCTCGATTTCCTCGTATCCAAGTTGGATTACATTGTAATGCAAATGAGAAAAGTTTTAAATATGAAAAGGGCTACTATGGAACTGCCTGCAAGTCACGCAACTCAAGCAATTTTGTAGTTTTTGCCAGAAATTGTCTCGCATCCACGTTGGATTACATTGTACTCCAAATGAGAAAAGTTAACCACAAAAAGGGCTAATATGGAACTACCTGCGTGTCACGTTGGATCAGGCTCAACTTGTACTCCTTCAGGATATCACTTCTTTTGTTGATGTCTTCAAAAGCCATCTCAATGGCTAGTGGAATGCCAGCTCCCCACCAAGATCTCCTTCCAGTCATTGGCGCCATTGATCCTATGTACAAAGGCCTTCCTTGCGTTGTGAAGTTGTCGGGCGGCAAGCTTACAGCGTCAAGAAGACGGATAACACCTTGTGCGGCAAAATATGTGAATGTGACGATCCATCTTGTTAAAGCAAAATCCATTTTGCAGAGAGAGTGCTACTCTGGTGCTGTCCTGTTCGAACTCAATACGTCAATCTTTTTTTCAAAGTTTTATCGCTTCCTTTTTGATGTCACGCGAATCTCCAACTGTGTAGGTACGTCATTGCAGGTCCGGACAAAATGTTTACCTAAAACAATATGAAGGGAGAAAAACGTGAACATTGCAGGTCTGTTTGTTGCACTGGATTATATCGATCGTGCGGGTGATTGCCAGTGAAAAGCAATTAAAAGCAACCGGTGTAAACACAATACTGCGACTAATTGTTGCCTTTTAAACAGCAATTTGGGCTTTCTTTCACAGTAAATTCTCTTTGACAGCTGAAATTAATAACGCGTGAACTGACTGCCGGCGGACGTTAAAATCTTCATTAATCTTTCTTCTGAGTTCCTTAGTTTCTGGCAGATGCATCGACATCTAATGAAACCACCTCGTCTATGTGCTGTAATGAAACATTCAATAGTTATGTTTATTGCCGAACTCTTCCTCTCTGCGTGGCCCGCTTATAAAAGGTAATCACCCAGCCGCCTGCTGACAAAGATGATTTACTCTTTGAATATGGATATAATAGACGTGATACCACTTCGGCCGGATCCATATGTTTCACTAAATATAAGCTATTACACACATACTAGAACTGTGATCTTTTCATTTTCTTCAAAATTAGGAGTTTCCACCGTATTGTCTTATTTTATTGAACCATCAACTGCTAGTTTAATATGCATTGCCAATAACGCGACCAAAATGATGTTCGTGCTCGACTCATACTGCGTTTATTTTAGAATACTGATAACAGTTAGTGATGTATTGTCTTCCAGTTCGCCGTTGATCAAGGTTTGACAAAAATGTTTCAATCGTGTTTGTTTCCCAATTCTATCTAGCTTCACTTACTTTATTATTGAATCCTCGACTAAAAAAACACTTACCTTTCAGTCATAGAAGATAAACCGACTAAAAGTGACTGCTAAACCAATTAGCATTTTTCTTTAGTTTGCGAGAAAAATTAAATCTCTTGGAAGCCCGGACCCAAATATTAATCTCTTTTTCACTCTGTTTTAATCATCCAGTGCACTTCACAGCCAGATGCATATGAAGACAGCGGATACTTAAGAAGCAATTTTTAATAAAGAACATGTGATGATACTCGCGTCTTAATAGAAGACGAATATGTTTTCACGTCTTAAAAATAACAAAGGCAGGGACACGTTCACACTTTCAGGTTCACATCAGACCAATCACAAAGTCGCAGAAAATTGATCTGTTCAAATACGAAGAAACTAAAAGAAGGCTCCTGTTACTTTGTTCTATAAATGTTGCCCAGTCTGTCGAAGTGAATAATGCTTTTGTTGGCGAATCATGTCAAGACTCCATTTTGCCTAAAGCCTTTTACTAAAATGTATTGACTACATCGCTTCGAAGGCAACACATACCAATCAAATGATAATTAGAGGGCAGCTGTTTTCATGAAGGTTGTCGAAGTTTTAAATGTTTTATCAATATAAGGCCGGGTTTTGAGCTGCGATTCCGCACGGATTTTGATAACTAAGAAAGACACACTACAGTCTAAGGTGTGCCACAATATTTACTGCCATGACTGACCTGGTGAAGTTCGTGTATCTGGTGGTTCATAATTAAAGATACATAAACAAACGGGAGAGAGACAAGCGTAGAATAAGGGAAAAAACTCTTAACAACTTCCAGTTGCCAGGGGGAACCATGCGGAGGTTACCCTGTCGTTTAGCCTTGTTTTCGCTGAACGAGCGAGAATCTAACCTGCGAGAAGACGACAGACATTTGTTTTGGCTAGCAAGAATGCGATTGTATAAAGAAATTGTCAGGAAGGAAAAGAAACAATTAATATCCGGCGGCTTTTAAGTTACGTAACGGCAGCTCAGTTTAGCTTCAAACATTTTTAATTAAGTTGTACACCCATTCTAAAAATATCTGTCATTGTCTTCCGTTGATTCATGAAGACCAAACAAATAGACAACTTTCTATGTACCGATGGCGACACTGCAGTCTGAGAAGAATCGTTGTTTTTGTTTATCCGGCCGGGGTACCTCCGCCAAATGATTCTTCGTAATTTTTCGCCCAAAGGAAGTGTATCGAAAAAAACGTTTGAAAGATATGCTTCCTTTGGACGACAAATAATAGCAATAGTAATAGTAATAGTAGTGGGAGCATTGGGATCAATACCACTGAGATTGAAGGACAATCTGAGAGCCATTGAGGTGGGCATTCCTGTTGGACTGATCCAGAGATGTGCATTG